GAATTAAAATTTTGCTTTTTGTAAATAATATTAATTTAAAAACTAAAAGTAGTTAATTGACATTTTCACATTATAACTACATTATACACAAAGTACTGCATTAATGTATAAGAGAAATGAAAATTAAGTATATTATGTCAAGAAAACCAAAACTATTGATTAGTTTAAAACTGGTTAACCACAGATACACATTGAATTACACGCTGCATGCAATGTACTTTAGACAGGTATAATATTTTATCCAAACATGTATATAATTATAATCTATTAAAACAAATATAATTAAGTTTTCAGTTAAAAATCTATTCATACTTTCATTGCATAATAAATTCAAAGCATTTGTTAAAATAAAGATAATTAAATCAATTATTTGCAATAAAGTGTACACTATTTGCAATTTATGGCCAAAAATGCGGATCTTATTGTGTGTGAAAATAAATCATCGGTTTATATAAAGAGGTCAATACTGATAAAATACACCATAATTTAGCTCAATATAAGTAATGTTCACAACTGGGTATTGATGTGGCATTAGTTTAAGTATTTCGGAACAAAGCTAAAACAAGACCACTCTTTTCAACACTACTAATATTATACATTGTATTAATAAATATTTTGTTATATAAATATAAAATATACATAAATAAATGTATATAAAATAAATAAGTGATGATTACTTTATCGTACATGCAATATGTGCATAAAAATCGAAACTAATCAAGCTTATACTTAAAATCTTTAATTAAAATCATTCATATTTGTAATAATCATATACATTTATATTAAAATATGCTAATTTATTAAAATATGATTGCATGATATAATTGCAACATGATACGATGTCAAATGGATTCACACATAATCTTACTTAATATCTATTGATATGAAATAATTAGTAGTGTTTGTACATGTTATAAAAATCTAATATTTATATTATGTTAACTAAAATGATATGTAATTATAGCATATAATTGAATTCATGGCATTTTTCCTGGACTTTACAAATAAAGTTGAATAAATTGAATGAAAATCTTTGTATTTGCCGTTTATTTATACAGAAGTATAAGAAGTGACGGAAGTGTTGGACATTATTTATAAACGCATATGAATTGAATATATGGTAATGTATACGAGTGTTGAATAATTGTTAACATATTTTTGGCTAAGTCTGTACTGTATATACAATTAGCTATAATTTAGTGCAATGAATATTTAGATAAGAATTTTGCTTCATTCACAAATTTTAAACATGTTTTATAATTGGCTATAATTGTTGTGAATATTTGATAATAAAGTTGAGCAAAAAATAAGTGACCAAATGTTGCCAAACAAGCAATTATTACTGCATTTATTATAATACATAAATTCATAATAAGAATTTTTAAGTCAGTCTATTTTGAATGGATTGTGTCGTTAAAATAGTATTTTGTTTTATTTATTTAATTTTAAATAAATTAAAGGTAAATTTGTGAGTGCATTAAAAATAATACCCACATGAGTTAAATGATAATAAAATATAATATATAAGTATGATATGTATAATGAGATTTCAAATTATATTTAAATATAATTATAAACAATTTCATTGACAGTCATTGTAATGATATCTAAATATATAATTAATGATTAGAGAGACCATAATATTTATAGTGATTTCAATTTAAGTATCGATTGGTTTATCGTTGGAGACTCTGATGGAGTCATAAGTAGTAAAATGTTTGACATCGGACTCGTCGGGCGAGAGAAAGGGTTTCGATGTCTTGGACTCGGAATTATATGCCATCGAAAATGAAGATTCCGTGTCAATGGGTTTCTTATCGGATGCACTCATTCTATTGGTGCCATTAGAGCCGTGCAAACGCTGTCTTTGGCCTTCATATCAAATGAAATGAGAGATTAGTAGCGAATGTAACAAACATTTAGCCCATAAGACAATACCTCTGTATTTCTTAAGTGTACCCGAAGTGAAGAATTGGATCCAAGCGTTTCTCGCTTCGGGAAATCTGATCACTCGGAACACAAATATGAGAAATCCTTGCAATGAATTCGTCACACAAAACAAGTACTGAAAGAATAATTTCATTTCTCCGATGGCGAGAGCGCCGAAAATCCACGAAACGCCTAACAATGCCATTAGTGTGAGTGCACCCAACACTTGAGACATACTTACTTTGCCTTATGTTTGACATTATATTCAATAAATAAAAGGTAAATAATTAAGGTATAAAGAGATATAAAGGGCTGATTCTGGTCTAAAATATACCCGATTTAATAGAAGCTGTGGACTCGAGTCTGGGAGTGAAGAGCACTCGTATTGCCATTACAAATGCCGATGAGTTTAAAATAATAAGTATAGACGCAGGCATTAAATACGATATGTAGTAGACATCAGAATATTTGGGTGAAATCATACAACTGTGGGCGCAAAACATTTTATGAAAGTCATTCAATTTAATAATTTATAATAAATTTAAACTACGAATAATGCTTACAAATCATTGTTATTGCGGTAAGCGATGGGTTTAACAAACGCTGTGATCATAACCCAAATAAACGGCAAACCTGTCAAACAATAAGTGTATGTATAAACACAACAAGTCATGTATAAATAGAAAAAGTAAATTCCAGAGAGAGAGAGAGAGAGAGAGAGAGAGAGAGAGAGTTACCCCAAGCAAACAATGTCCTCTTAAGCATGAATCTGGTCTCAGAGGTGGCAAAAACATAGATCAATAATTGGTAGATATGAACGGCTTCGACAAACATCCAACACAGAGACGTCAAGACAAAGTAGTGGATCGCAAATGCCATAAATGCACACCAATTGTTTGACTCAAATATTATCTTTTGAGATCCAATGAGAAACGAAACGTTCAATAAAAGCAATGAAAGACAAAGATTGAGGAGAATTTTGCCAGAATTGTCTCGATTTAAACATCTGTTTTAATAATAATTAATTATATATTTTGTTTTTAGTTAAAGAGACAATTTATACGAAGAAAGAAATACCGGAATAATGTATACGTGATTAGAGTGAGAATAAGTCCGCAAACGGATAGATAGCAACCGATTGACGTGACAATCGATAAGACAATGTCCTCTTCTCTGGTCTCATAAGGAGTTAAATCAAAGAGTACTGAGAATGCAGTCAAATGTGACGAAAGACATGTAATCGACTTATTCTTGGCATTGGGTTCGGTTTGAATGCCTTTTGTGGACCAGTTTTGGTGCAATTCATCCCAGAAAACACATTTTGCGGTCAAGAAATCGCTTTCATTGCATTCATTACACGACAATACAATTGCCACCGGCTTTCGGAGTCTATTTATAACTACATTTCCAACCGTGGCTTCAATTACTGGCATCTCTTTTCTGCTTATTATATCATTTAAGTTGTTTTCTCTCGTTTTGAATAACTTATGATTTTTATAAGCAATAAACTGAACCCTAACTGTAGTCGAGTTGCTTTGCATCAAAGCTTTTTCCAGTGTCTCAATCGGCAAATTGATTACTGCCTATAATGTCATCAATTAATTATTTATTTATTACAAAAACATTCCGCTTATTAAATATTGACTCAAATAAAAGCATAATCACGTTTTGCCGCTGACTTTCCAATTCATTCATATTTGTCTTAAATTCTGGTTTAAACGAGATTTCATTGTTTGCATCGGAAGAAGAAATATTTACTGATTTTGTTGCAAAACTCTTATGAGATGTGATAAACACTTTGCTGTCATTTATCGGAGTTTCAGATAATATATTTGTGATAATTGTTTTTCTATAAATTGGGAAATTAAATACAATTAAAACAATTTTAATAAAAATATAAAAATGACAAAAATACAGATCTATATTTTCATTGAGTTGTTGTGTCTCTCTATCATTAGTTAAGAAGTCGTCGACAGCGACCAGAAGTTGTGTCGATCTGATAGTGTCTGTGGCGACTGTGCGGACAATATCTCTCGATAGCAGATCTATCACTGATATCGATGTCGTACTCATCGGCGGTTCAGTAGTTGTCGTCATTTTAATCTATTTTAAAAATTAAAAATATTTAATAATTATATGACATTTGCATCACAAAAGCTATACTGTAATCAATTTCGATACCTTTTCTAAACAATGATTGTCATCGACGGTAGACCAAAACGCTGTGCCATTGGGTTGTAATAAACAGATACGACTCGCACTCATATTATTCATAGAGCCATAAGGACAGGGATGGAGGATCTTCTCGTTAAAACCAATCTCATGCCATACAATGCGGCCTTTTTTGGTAAATGTTTTTTCAGATTTGCATTTAACTACATTTTGGGAATCATTCATAATTATTAATGCATTCAATGTATTTTAATTATGAATTCAGAAATTACTTTTCATATCACATGTCTGTCCCTGAAAGCCGTGTTTGCAAACACATCTGGGTTTTCCATTGTCAGCGTAAATACAATTGCCTTCATTTTGACAGTCGAGTGGACAGGGAGTGGATTGAGTGCAGGAATACCGACCGAGTATTCCGTGCGGACAAACACAGACACCGTCGGAGACTTTGCACTCGGGATTTGGTCCGCACTTACAGGTGCTGTCAATCGTGTATTTATAAAATTGTTGACTCGAAGGACCCACTTCTTGCCCAATCCAAGCGCTTATTTCAATAGTATAGACACTATTCTGTTTGATTTCCAATAGATAATAACATTGAGGCCTAAAGTTATATAAATGTAATAAATAAAACAAATTGTTATTATAAGTCACATAAATGTTGATGTTTTAAGTGTCGGTAATTAAATATTGAAAATTTGTATATTTATGTAACTTAATGCTAATGTATGCAAAACATCAATCAATTATTTAATATATTCAGAATTCTTAAGTCATTTAGATATTTAGTGATATTTAATGCTATAATTGCTTACGAGTTATTTTTGTTGTCATAATTGGTTAAATTGACTTTATATCCAGATATCTCATCGACCACTTTGTATGAAATTATATACCCATTAACTTGTTGTAAATCATTCATTTGCCAACAGATCTGTGTTTTCGAGTTGTTTAAACCAATTGACTTTATAGTCGGTGCTTATTATAATTACATTCAATTAAAAAACTATTCATTTCTTTAGACAGTAGTATTAGAGAGGAATCGAAGAATATTCTTACCGGAGAGCTGTTCATATGTTGTAATATACACTTTGGTTGTGTTATATCCGAGCGGAGATCCAGTATCAGTGGCTCTAATTTCAAATTCATAACTAAATTCTTGCTTATCATTCAGTGTATCATTTGTTATCAATTGTCCAGAAGTGGCGTTTAAAGCAAACGGAAGGCTTAACACAGAGTTTGGTATAATTGTATAATAAATATGCGAGTTATATGTCTCTATGTCTTCGTCAATAGCTTTCACGTCAAGTATTGTGGAACCAATTGGTGACAAATTATGTATACAATTAGTGTAATTTGTTTGCAAAAACTTGGGCCCAAATCTGTTGTAAGCGCTCACTATAATTGATAATTGCTTTGTTGTCTCAACATTTTCATACGGGGAAACACCGATTGCTTTAATTGTTATCTGACCAGTGAATCAAAGAGATTGTAGATTTTAATTAAAATAACATTATAATTATAATTAAATGTTATTTTAAAAAGTATTGTCTGTTCGTGTGTTAATTAAGTTTAAGTCAAAGTGAATGACTCTTTATATAATATAATAATATTCTTATCACAAAATCGTAATTCATTTGTCAATTGAAAATATTTGTGACATTAATTTTACTGATAAGTGCTCTTAAGATTACAAATTTTAATCAATAATTTAATTTATATGAACTAAATAACAGTCATTTCCTTTGCATTTAAAGTGCTGTCAAAAGTGGGAAATTAATTAATTAATGTTTAGTTAAGTATTATATTTACACAAAAGTGTTTAGAAGCCGTGTTTTTGTGCTGATATTAACACATATTATTAAACCGCGATTTCAAAGCTCAGAACAGAAACATTATATTTAAATAAATTCACGATTTAGACAAATAAACAATTGTTTTAATGCTTTCGTCAAGCATTTAGTGCCAAAAACAAGTTCAGCTCTTAATGAATGAGAATTTGTGTATAAAAATTGAAATTAATATTTTTAAATGAATTAATCAAAATATGAATGATATGAGTTTGAATGACATCCAGAGAGTTAACAAAAACAATTCAAAAACTATTTGCTATTTTTATTATAGATATCATTTTAGGATTACTATCTATTTATGATGTCATGTAAATTCATTTCTCATGTCATAACGTGTGTTAACACATGTGTACTGTTAAAAGAGGCACACAGTATATACAACACATATTGGGTTAAAAATAATTGTTTTTTCTCAGGAATTCAATTAGAAATGCAAAATATTTTGAATAAGAAAAGGCGCAAAACACTTACAAGTGTTTATTCATTCATTCAATCATTGAATTGAATATAAATTTAGAGTCTGATAAAAGTCATATTAATAGCTTTATAATAAGAAAGGGGACTAACATTATAGGACTGTCCTATTTCTCTGTCAATTTGCCAATTTGTGGTTAAATCGCCGCTGTATTTATCGATTGCAAAGTATTGGTGATCATAAATCGCTTCTAACACGTAAACAATGCCTGTATAGCCACCGATGTTTGGCTCAAAATAGGCATCCAATGTGACCACATGTACGCCCGGACCGGCCTTTTGGTATATTCTGGGCTCGTATTGAAGTGGTTTAAAATATAAGCCAACATTTCGTCCAAATCCTATCCAGATTTAAAAACACGTTAGAATTAAATTTAATATAAAACTTGTCTCAAAAAATATATTTTGATGATTATTTGGGAGGAGAAGAATGAAACAAAACATTATTTTATATGAATTTATTATTAATAAAGAAGCGATGGGTTTATGTGCAAAGAATTGATCCAAACATCACATCTATGTAGACCTCGCCCTTCAATTCAATCACTGGTTTCTAACTTTTGATTCTCTACTGACTTGCGGCTAAAAATATCAATTCGTTTCTTAGATTATATCTATTAAAACAATAAATACATTATTTAATACATGTTATGAAAACAATTCCCTGAAGACATCATTTGTCATAAAAAGCAGTACATATAAGACAAATAAAAATGTAATTAATTAAAGCATCCTTCTTTTCGCATTCAATTTTTCAACAAACTCTCAAACTTTTCAAACAATACAAAGCCTTTCATTAGATTCTTATAATTAAAACGGATGTCAAAAGCATAGAGAATAAGAAGATTTGCATTTTAATAAACATTTCTTTCAAAATAATTCCATATTATAAACAGTGGTTTTCATTTGGAAAAGAAAACATTTAAAAAACAAAATGAATTTATATTTAGCCATAAAAATACATCTAATCGGCGATAAAAAGTGATAAAATAGTTTATGATATAAAATATGAGATCATTTGTTTATTTCCATTCATATTACATGTATTTCTTAGATAAATAACTTTCATATTATGCTAAATATATAATAATTTAGACATATTTTGAATATTTCAAACTATTGTGACCAAAACCAGATTTATAATGCTTTATGTCATACTCTAACTGTGACTCTCTTGTAAGTGTCCATTGGTTTAAATGAAAAGTTACATTAAGAAAATCTTTTGACACATGTTTATTTGATTTGAGTAGTTACTCATATATTTCTCGGTATCGATAATTCCTTTCGCGTGTTTTCAATGTTTTTAATTTATGAATTAAATGTAAATGCATTGCATGTGTTTGTATAAATGTACAGATGTGCTTGCTTACAATCACATTAAACAAGTTACTGTATTTGCAATTTGTATGTCTATGGGTAGGCACTGATGAGGAAGGATAGGATGGCCTGAATTAGTTATGTTTACTCACATTTCGCCCATAAATTCATACATTGTTTGCACACATAATCTCTAATAATGATAGCAAAGCTGTGCCTCTCATCTCCAGACTCTGGTCTATAATCTCAAAACAAATCCGCATTTTTATGGCTAATTTGACGCTCACATCAATGTATCAGTCATTTGGTGTGCGTTTACCCCACGCACTAAATATCCCGTATAACCAACATGCATATGACCATGTACAGTATGACCATGCACACTAATACATTAATACACTACATTATTCACTGAATAAATAAATTGATTAAATAAATGCCAAAATTAGAGTATTTTAATTAAATATTGGTAACTATGATATGAGCAACACTTGTCTCAGGATTGGTATTGCGATAATGAGTGAAATGCTGTCTTAAGTACTGTTCATGTGTTTCACGAATGTGTGACAATTAATAGTCTCAACAACAAATTACTTGATTTACATATTAATTTTGAATATTTTATTTTTTGAGCGAAAGTTCAATTAAATGGTATAATAAATTTGCAGTAAAATTCTTACCATTAGTTAGTGAAGAGTAATGTATTAATAAAACGAGAGCTAAAATCCCATGTAATTCATTCATTTCGGTTGATGTGAAACGGATTTTTCAAAAATTGCACATTTGTTTCATATTTCACAATCAATTAGTGATAAAACACTGGTTTATGTTTTATAAGCGAAAAATACTTTATTAAATCACATTTACATCATAAACATCACGACACAAATGGTTTGGTGTAAAAAGTAACGAAAACTAGTGAATAAAACTTTATAATCGCGTTTACGTATAATAATAATAATCATAAATATATGAAAGCATTTGTCCGTAAATAAAGTTTTAATATGTTTTGATTGGATTTAGTACGAGGACAAGAGAGTGGAAGATCTAATCACTCGTATATACCATATGAACAGGACTTTCAATATATTCAACGGTATATGAGATTATGATTTGGTGTGGAGTTTGAGCATTCAGTCAAAAGCTACCCATTCTTACCAACACTTTTCATTGTAAATACCAGTAATCGTCTGATGAAACTCACTGTAGTCTACGTTTATCTCTACTTATAAAATATCATATCTTTCTATACATATGATTGTCAGACTTTGACTCGCATTTGTGAGGCAATGGGGAGAGAGAGAGAGAGAGAGAGAAAGAAAGAGAGAGAGAAAGAGAGAGAGAGAGAGAAAGAAAGAGAGAGAGAGAGAGAGAGGGAAGTCAAAGTCTGACAATCATATGTATAGAAAGATATGATATTTTATAAGTAGAGAGAGAAAGAAAGAAAGAGAGAGAGAGAGAGGGAGGGAGAGAGAGAGAGATTTAAAAGAGTTCCGCTTTAAATGTAAATATTAAGGATTAAATATCGAAGAAAGTTTATAAAAATATTGAAACATAGAATTGAAAGTACTTTATATGTACAGAAAGATCGGTCTTATTATAAGACCGATCTTTCTGTACATATAAAGTACTTTCAACTATAAGACTCTTATAGTATGAAAATATTTTATTTATAGCTATGTTTCACCTAATGGTTAGTATATCACAAGTGATTGTATAAATTGGATAACATATTGTCAACAATTTATTTAAACTTTCACTTTAACAACAAATTGAGTGACAGTTTTGAACAAAAGAATAAGAGGAACAAAATCCCATTGAATGCAAATTGAAATAACATTTCAAACTGTGTTCACAAGTTTTATGCGGTATTTATAAACGCCTTGAGTATAACGTAAAGACAAGTTTTAAAAGCTCTATCTATAGTCAATAATTTGTATAATAAAACCGATCACAGAATACTATTTAATATAAATTACATTATATACCCAAATTTTCCGAGTAATAGCTTATTTAAAATTATTTTGATGTCAAGAATATTAAAAGTATTATAATTTTATTTAGATATTGATTTTTAAAATGCCAACAATTTGTCTAACTTAAAACAATACTAATTATGGTAAAATAACGAATAGTAAATCTTTTAGTTACATAATTTTCTTTATACAATAAGAATAACTTTCATTTAATTAAAATATCACATTAAATATTAAGTCATAGATTGTAAAATTTAATAAAACTAATTAAAAACGTTAATAATAATATAAAATAGTAAAAATGGGAATAATAGTAGTATTGACGAACACATGTAGAGATGCAGAATCTTTATTCATAATATTCCGCAATTGCCAAAAGTTAAAGAATACGTACTCACGACACCGCCTACTCACCCTTCTGTACCTACCGAACCTAGCGGAGGTTTACGTTTACTCTAATCACAACCAAGGCGAGTGTATATACTCGTGATTAGGACTAATGGCTGTCGTATTGACAAAGAGTTTGTCCATCGATGGTAACGACTGTATAGAAGATGACTGTTTATCGGAGGAAACCTTATTGAGTTGAGGCATTGCCAGCACTCGTATCGGTTCGACGGCATTGTTCTCCTGTTGTTGTTGTGGCCGAAGGACAGAGTCTTTTAGATAATACAGTCGTATGCGTCCCGAGGCGTCGCCGCAACACAATAGCCGACTCTCAGCACTCATATAGAAATAATTACACTTTAGGTGACAATAACGGAGTTGTGTTACGCGACACAACTCAACAGATCCCGAAATGTTTGGTTCTTTTACTGAAGCCATCATTTTGTCCAAATCGGCCACAATTATGCTCTCTCTGTATCGAAACGCGATTAATGGCAACTTCTCGTCGATCAGTGCCGAGCCATCAACGAGTCTGGTTTTAGTCGGCATTTGTACGCTATGGACACAACCGGCGTCTGATTCATGTAATGTCGGATCTTTCATGAAGACCAGTCCGTCCTCACCCGCGACTACCAGTGCTCTAGTCTTTGGCACAAACACCAAACTGAGCGCCCGGTTGTGGCAATCGATTTCCTTTAGCTTTTTTACAGTTATAGACGAAATGCTTGAATCCATGGTTACATTATTCCAGTCCAGTATCCAAACCATTATCTTTCTATCATAACTACCGCTAAATAATAGGTTCCGGTGTTTGGGATGAAAGAGTAGGCAATTGACTGATTGTGAATGACTGCCCACTTTTAAGTAGTCTTTCACGTTATCGGAGTTTATAAATATAATGTTCACTAATTTGTTGTCTTTTTTAGTGCCGCCGACACATATCAAACTTAATTCACGTCTTTGTTTGGTGTTTGTATTTATGATGAAATCTCTCCAATCAATACAATTTAATGTTTCGCAATCGTTAGTGTCTGTATAGCGGCCACAAACAGAACCAGTCTTTAAGTCAATCACATTAACAATATTTCCACCACAAGTGGCCACTAATTGCTGTCCATTGTGTCCACTGTTTGTTGGCTTGAATTTTATGCCCCAAATTGACGTTTTTTCGTCTTCTGGATCTCCTCTTCGCGAATGTTTTCGTAATATTTTAATTAAATCATAGGATAATGGACTCCAAGTTCTCGCATTCAAAGGATCTCTTTTGTGATTACTTTCTTCTCCATCAGTCGCTTGTTTTCGTTTTGTCTCGTTTTCACATAATTTAATTGATTTGTCGCTATTTTCTCGTTTAATTGTTTGTAAATTTGACGAACTCTTTAATTGTATAGTCTTTTGATTAGTATCAGTAATGACAACATTAAGATCACCGATTGTTTGGGCGATAATAGAGGCCAATAAATCCATTTCCTTTATATTTATTTTGTTTGAATATCTGTTTAAAGATGAGGAAGAATTTGTCGTTTCNTTCTCGTTTAATTGTTTGTAAATTTGACGAACTCTTTAATTGTATAGTCTTTTGATTAGTATCAGTAATGACAACATTAAGATCACCGATTGTTTGGGCGATAATAGAGGCCAATAAATCCATTTCCTTTATATTTATTTTGTTTGAATATCTGTTTAAAGATGAGGAAGAATTTGTCGTTTCCATTGATTTAGTGTTTTGAATGTAAAACTAATTAACAAATATTTGAAATAATAATAGGCAGTGGATAGTCATGCAAACATTTATACATTAAAAATCCTATACTAACTAAAGTATAAACCCTATAAAAAGGATTTGTTTGGTTAATAAAGTTTTAAATATTGATAATACAGTGTAAACACAGTTATATTCCAGAGACTGAAAAGGCATTAATTTGCAGACTTTATATATTTATGGATTTATATATTCATTTATTAATATTCTCGTTTAATTGTTTGTAAATTTGACGAACTCTTTAATTGTATAGTCTTTTGATTAGTATCAGTAATGACAACATTAAGATCACCGATTGTTTGGGCGATAATAGAGGCCAATAAATCCATTTCCCTTATATTTGTTTCGTTTGAATATCTGTTTAAAGATGAGGAAGAATTTGTCGCTTCCATTGATTTAGTGTTTTGAATGTAAAACTAATTAACAAATATTTGAAATAATAATAGGCAATGGATAGTCATGCAAACATTTATACATTAAAAATCCTATACTAACCTGAGTATTTGTATGGACATCCACAGGCGATGAATCACGTGACAAATTAGTACTGATTATACTGTCGAAAAATTAATACTAAAATGTTATACATAGAACATATCAGTATTAATTTTTCGACAGTATAATCAGTACTAATTTGTCACGTGATTCATCGCCTGTGGATGTCCATAGAAATACTCTGATACTAACTAAAGTATAATCCTATAAAAAAGATTTGTTTGGTTAATAAAGTTTTAAATATTGATAATACAGTGTAAACACAGTTATATTCCAGAGACTGAAAAGGCATTAATTTGCAGACTTTATATATTTATGGATTTATATATTCATTTATTAATGAGTGTAAAGTTAGTGTTATGTGTATATCGTTTGCCACAACTTGTGTTTCAAACATGTAAATGTTAAACACACCATAACTGTTAATATTAAATGACTGAATCTGTGCTAAAGATACTACACTTTACACAATTTTTATAGAGGAGTGGATTATAAGTGATAGCAATTCATAATTTATTACTTTACAAATTTTAGCATTCAATGTGATTACAATGTACTGGAAATACACATTATTTATTAACAAATAATCTCAACTTGAGATTCTCAAGTCAATTGGTGTTCAGACTATTTGGCAAATACTATCACTTTCTGGCCCACGAATGTTGGGTTAAACATGAATTATATAAGTAAAGCACACGAAATACAAAGTAATTGAATTAAAATACAATTCATATTAAAATACTAAATATTCTATTCTTGCGGTCATTATATAAGGATAACTCAAAATATTTGAATTTATTATTGGATTATTTTATGTCAAAAATAAAATATGTTATAATAACATATATCAATAAACTTTTAAATTTAATGCCAATTTTAGTTTTGTTTTAATAAATAAATCAAATAAAACTTATTTTTTTAAATAAAA